TTTAGTCACATTTTTCTAAAGCGTTCTTGTGTGTCTTACGTAAAGGATCTTCATTAGTGAAGCTGGTAACTTATTTGCAGTGATTAGCTAAGTAGTAATTTTCAGCTGAACTCTGCTTATTTGGTTACTTCATTCTTCATGTACTCCCAGTTTTTTCTCTTTGTTCACCACTGACAATGGATGAACAGCAGACTTTTGAGGGTATTTTCTGCATCTGTGTGCAACCTGAAGCATAATGGAAATGTAATATTTTCTAGGTGATGTAATACAAATAATGTAATTTTAAAAATGATTTTATGAACTTTCTCCTAATTTGAAAAAAGTGTTGAAAGGTATGTTTAAGTTTGAGCCTAACTGTAAATCAATAGGTAGTAGTTATGAAACATTACATTTATCTATCCCTTTATTAATGAACCTGTAGGACAGAAGTTGAAACATCTAGGTTGGACTTTAAAGGGCACTCATACTGGTATCTACCTCAGATCCCATCTGGAGGCTTTTGAGGATTCATCCCATAGGGTTTAATGGTTTCCTGGAAGTTGCTGGCTTGTAAGTGACATGGGGTTGAAAGTTAATAAAGAATATTTGTTTTAGATGGGTTAAACAGGTAAGTGTATAATATTGATGTCTTTGACCCAAAAGACTAGGTGGTGGAGATGCTGCAACTTTAAAAAAAAATCCAGTTTTTGGGCTGTTTTTCAGTGTTCCGTGTATAGAATAAAATGCACTTTCTTTCCATCATACACTTTCCCTCTCTCATTCAAGTTGATGTAATTCAGTGCTTATCTAGACCCTCACTTGAAGTAACTTTAGATTTGTGTTGCTTAAAGTTGGCTTAAAGGACTTTATAAAACTGGTTGCAAGATATTTGCATAAATTCTTTGCAAGGTACATTTGCAAACCTAAATGAAGCTAATCTGAATATTTTGAGAATGTTGTGACAAAAATTCTGAAAATCCTGATACTAGCTGCTGCAAACACTTTGAGATTTTCATCTTCTAAGCATTAGAAAAAAGAAGTCAACTTTCAGTGTGTTAGCATACTCTAATATATTAATCCTTACACTAGTTAATAATCCACACCATTACTTAAACAGCAACAAAAATAAACACGTCTCAACTTTTGAAGTGATTTAGCTTCAAACTATAAGGGCGTAATTTGCCTTTAAGAATATTTTTGAACATCACTAACAACTTGATCACTGGGCCTTTATCATAAATATGGGTCAAGGTGGAGCTTAGTTGTTGGGAAGGATAACTGTTAAAATGAGAGAGACTTTTCTTTGTGAAATAAAACATGTTGCGTTTCCAAGACGGGGATCAAAAGCATTTAATAACTTAGGGGAGGGGAGAGACCCTGCAAAAATCAATTAACTTAAGTTAGACCTGGATTGCTGGATCCTATTTATGTGATAACAAATAGCTTTAGTATTTAAAATACCTAATAGAACCTCTCTTATTAGATCTATTGGTACATGCACTTATTGTCTGTACATCCAAGCAGAATGTTTAGATTTTTATGATTTTGTAAGTAGTAGTTGCATTAATGATTTCTGGATCAATCAACACTGAAGAGGACTGAAATATAAAGTATCAATAACTTCCATTTATAGATTAAAAATAAGAAAATAATCCAGGGAAGAAAGCCAGAAAGATCACATGATTTCTTTTGCTTGTTTCATACACTACAGAATTATTTTGCCAAATTCACTGAAATTAGCATGCGTATGTGACTTAAGTTTTTCGGACTGGGTTTGAAATATTAATATGAAACATTAAAAAAATATAGATTTATCTTTGAAAATAATTTTGTTTTAGAATAGCTAAAAATGCATCACCCTTCGAGCATAAAAATAATTAAGTATTTACTAGTTCTTTTACTTACTACGATGTAGCTTATTACATACACCGTACTTTTCTGCTTTTTAAAAAAATCACTGAAAGTATTCAGTAGTGTAATCAGAAATAGCTCCTGTTGTCTGTATGAGAGAGGGAGAGAGAAACTCTGTTGCTCTGATAATTGGGTATCTTAATTGGATCAGCTACAATATCAGTTCCACCAGTGATTTAATGTTTGTTTGATGGCCTAAAGGCAAATGCAGTCTCTCTGTACAAACCTTTGAAAACCCTATACAATGAAGAGTCCTTTGAGTGCAACTGTTGACTTCTAGCAGAGTAGAAATTGCATACGAAGTGCATGGCCACTCAGTTCTTTTTCTTTTTTTTTTTCTGTTTCAACCTTCCCCTGCCTCTAAGAATTAGTTCTTAAAGGAATCTTTCTCTCTTGTCCAAGTGTTGAACCTAGTAAAGGCCATTTTCTTATTCTTTTACACAGGTTAGTACACAGAATATGAAGATGGGTGGGCTGCCCCGTACTACGCCTCCTACCCAGAAACCACCCAGTCCACCAATGTCAGGAAAAGGGACTATTGGGTGAGTGTTTTACTGTACACTGTATTTTAGTGGAGAGTAAGAGGGCAAGAGAAATTTCTAAATGGACACTCTTATTCTTTCCTCGCCAGTCAAAAATGAAACTTGAAGCAAAGAGAAGTTTGAACCAGTTTCTTTTATACTGATGATGCCTTAAATTAAATCTAAGGTGACTTGTTAATAAAAGTAGACACTGAAAGTCACCAGAAAGTCTGTTCACAAATGTTTTTCTTCATTTTAGCTCTTTGTTAACTCTCTTGTGAAGGCTTAGCTGTGTGCTGTTCTGATGGATTGTACTATTTATTTAGAATACCTAATGGAATATCGGAATTGACATACTGTACTGCTGGTTGGGTATACGTGCTATGAACACTAATGCTTGCTTTCCAGTGAAACCTATGAAGTTGATATCTGCATTTTCCTTTAGAATCAAGGGTGCTTATCCTTTGGTCCAAGGAACAGATCCTGCTTCTGGAGCCATGCCATCTCACCCTCATGTTTCCCCATGGTTCCAGAAATTTGGCAGCAGCAGGGGAGTTATGGCAGTGGTAGTGTTAATTACCACTTCTCTACTGCCAAATTTCTAGATCCACGTGGAGTTCTGCTGGCTGGATAATGTAGCCCTGCATGCTAGATCATTGGTCCATGGTAGGGCTGGTGCACAGGGTCACGCTGAGGCTGGATCCAGTATGTGGCCACCTCTGCACCACTTGTCTGGCCCACATAGCTAAAAGGTTGAGCACCACTGTTTTAGATGATGGAATCTTTTAAGAATTGTCCTGAGCAACAACAGTCTTTCCAATTACTACATCAGTGTAGTTAGTGTGTAATGGCTTGTGACACCATCCTCAGTTCTCTCATCTTTCAAATTGGATATTGCAGGCATGTAAAAAAACAAAAACCCCAGCCTTCCCATGCCAACTTCTTCAGTCCCTTATTTTTTTGTTCTATATAACTGACTTTACTCTAGTAAAAGAGCTTTGGGTGTGTTGCATTGTGTCTGAATTTGCTTCCGTACATATGCTTTTTCTTGTGTAGGCGTCATTCTCCCTATCGCACACTGGAGCCAGTGCGTCCTCCAGTGGTACCAAATGACTATGTACCTAGCCCAACACGTAATATGGCTCCCTCGCAACAGAGCCCTGTTAGAACAGCTTCTGTGAATCAGAGGAATCGCACATACAGGTATTCAGTCTACTCCTGCACAAAATGTGGTTAGCATTATATGGTAATCTGTACAATGTACCAGTACTAAAAACTAAGCGAAACCAAATTGGTACCCTACGAGAGAACCTTGCAGATTCACGCTGGTGACTGGGAAACCCTTACATATTGGCAAGTGGACACTGTTAAATCAGGAAAATTGTATTGCAACGTTCTTTGTTCATTTGCTGCCACATGATTTTAATTTTATCATAGTTTTTTAATGTATTATTAAAATGTATTAGTTGAAAAAATGAAGTCTTAGTGGGCAGTCTTGTAACAACACCATTAAATCTTTTCAGTCATCTTGGTAGATATATAATGAAGCCTGTCCATTGGAGAAATACAGATTGGTACATTTGCTTTTGTGGGTCACTGTATGTTACATTTTCTTGCCTAAAAATAAGCTTTGAGACTTTATGGTGAAAAGTGCTAAAGAGTTCTGTAAAAACTGTAATAACAGCTGTGTATGTCTGAAGATAGATGTATTGAACCCAGAAATGGACTAAAGTCATTGTATACAATAGAATATGTGGTTTTGGCACTGACTGCTAGAGGATTTGATCACTCTTTTGACTTGCCAGAGAAGTAAAATGCTGCCTGAGGGCTAAAGTTCTTGTGACATGTTAGTTAAAATAAGCTTTATGCTGTAGCTGTCTAAACACAAAAATGGACTTCGTTGAATTCTGGAAGTTTTATTAGAGTAAGACACCTCAAATAATACTTAAGGTAAGAGCATGTAGAGTGGAGTCTTGCTAGTCTGCATTCTGTTATAATCTGTATGGAATGCGAGGATTCTCTTTGCTCAGCAGAAATTTACTCTCATAGTAGTGACATCATTTTCTTTTATATTTGGCTCCCAAAGTGTGATATACTTGTGTAAATTTACTAATACCAAAGGAAAGATTATTTTTTTCCATCAAAATCAAGTGATGTGCAGGGGGGAGAAGTTTTTGTTAAATCGCTTCTTTAGTCCTTTGTTTTCCCAGTCACTAGTGTGAATTAGCAAGGTTCTCCAGTAGGGAGTTCATGTTTTCCCCCTCTGGAATGGTGTATTAATGTTTTGGTTATTTTGGTTTCCTTAGCAGCAGCGGGAGCAGTGGAGGGAGCCACCCGAGTAGTCGAAGCAGCAGTCGAGAGAACAGTGGAAGTGGAAGTGTGGGTGTTCCTATTGCTGTTCCTACTCCTTCTCCTCCCAGTGTCTATCCAGGTAAACAGAAATCCCAAATTCCTCTCCTTCCTTTCTTGTCCTAAAGTTGGAGTTTACTTACCATTGACACTAGGTATCTTGCAAACACGAAGAGAATTTTCGGCATCAGTTTTCAAGACCATATACATTCTAAAAACTTTTCAGCGCTAATTTGCCTGTGTGGAAATATATGGTAGATCCTGTGCCTAGTACATGCCTTCCTATTTATTTTATGTCAGTGGTTCATCAAAACCTTTTGCCTAGGCTTCTAATTTGACTGGATTTAGGTCATGGTAACTGTTCCAGGGAAAAAAAAAAAGAAGTCCTTTATGCAGTCCTTTATAACAAAAGAAGTCCTTTATAATGTTGTCTCACCTCCAGTCTGTCCATGGGAGACATTTAAAAGTTTGTTTAAAAAATTGACACAGATACAAGCCTTCAGTATACTCATGAAAAATAGCCGATTTTCATGGAAAGCTTGTATGTATACTCCCTCTTCCACTCATGTTGTCTGGTGAGCATTATCTGTAATGCCTTCTGTAGTCCCCTCCATGAAATAGAAAAAAATGTACTTGGCTAAATTGTGTTCTGAAAAATATTAATTTTTTGTGCCAAAATTGCCATATGAATCCCCTCTGTTTCCCCTCTGCTAGGAAACTTGATTTTGTTCAAAAGGTGAAGTGCTGTGTTGCAGGTTGCAGTATAGTGAGGCCACCATCTATGAAAAATAATGACTTGCAGTAAGGAGTCCAATAAATAGTTATCTATGGTCTTAAAATCCAACAGTAAGCTTCCTTAACCCAAGTACCCTTATTTGCAGCATATGTAGGAATGATCCTTTCTTTAACAAAGACTTCATTTTTCTCTCATTCTCTTGCACTTTCTAATACGTTACATATTGGCTGAATAGCTAACGCTGAATGGTTGGGAAGCTTTTCTAATCCTTGCTGACCTGATCTCCTTATTAACTTCACCTCTTCCTCCTCTCTTCACTTAGCCCCTGCTGGCTCAGCTGGCACTTCTCCCCTTCCTGCTACCTCTGCACCTGCCCCTGCCCCTCCTGCTACTGCCCCCTCCTCTGCTGCCCCAGATGCTGCTGCTGCAGGAGCCCAGCCCCTTGCTGATGGCTTCACCTCTCCAACTCCCCCTGCTGTATCTTCCGCTCCTTCTGCAGGTGAGTCCCCCCTCCATTGTATGGGCAGATGAGCCAAGGTGTGATCACAATCTGAAGCTTTTCGAAGCATCTTCACAGTCGATTGTATGGTGTATTATAACTTATTATGTTTGTGGAAGTTAGAATAATGCAAGCTCCCAGAGGAACATCTGTGTAGGAAGAAAGCAACAATTCTTTTAGGCTTCTTTTTTGTTCCTCTTTCAATATTGGAATGAAAATGGTGTATCTAATGACTTGGGTTGTATGCAACTTTTTCATGGGCCAGAAATTCTGCTTTCCGTTAGTTGTTAAGTCATAATTATACCTACTGAAATAGAAACTTTAATACACAAATTGGTGAGTGGATTTCGATCCAAGAACTTGTTCAATAGGTGTTTTTTATACAGAATGAACTCCTGCTAGCTTTCTTAATGTTTAAAAAGGCACCCTGCATTTTTCATTTTCTAACTTGAGTTGTAACACATGGTATTTTTTTTTTTAATTGGATGCTGCATTGGGGTATAAAGATTTGCTTTCAGTACCTCAAATACTATATATACCTGTTGTTTGCAGTCATTGACTGTAGTGATTTCAGAAGGCCACATGTTATTTTTGATGTTTAATAACATTGGTCTATGATAGGCTTATTTAGGAATTATATAAAGGACCAGAAAATGTTCTTTTAGTGTTTAGTTAAAGGGTTAAGTTTGGTATTTATCACTATATTCTAATCTGTAATAGAATTCTTGTCATGGTCCTGGAAGCCTTTAAGCTGTGACATATCTAAGTGCAACAAATCATCCTAATGTCTGAAGTACCTGTACATTCAGCAAATAAGATTGATCAGTCAGCAGTTGAACTGACCTTCAGATTTTGGGGGTGGGATGTATATGTGCGCACGTGTATGTAAATAATAACAACAACAGTAAGTCTTAAGCCCTGCTGCTTTCTTGTTTTATGACAAAAATAACCAGAATTGAATGGAAGTGAATAACTATAAATCCCTGTAAAGTTCTGTAAAAGAAATTCTATTTACCTGATCATTATTCAAATCATAGTTCAAAATAAAAATATCAGCCAAGTACTCGCTCAGTTCCCCTGAAATGGAATATATGAGGATACTAGTTACATTGTTCACCAGGATTGTATTATCCAGCTCGGAAAAAACAAAAACCCACTGACTGCCGCTGCCTCCCCCTTTCCGAGATGGGGAGACCCACCACAAAAGCTCTGTAGAAAAGACATAAGGGAGAAAATTTGCATAATTTGTGAAACAAAATGTATTCTATTTTTATAAATATAAGAAGTCTGTTACTTGAACATTATGTAAGCAAAGGAAACATCCAGTATGTTAGTCACTGGTCTACAGCTTAATGTACCTTGTACCTCTTGGGCATTTAATCTTGGATACTGGGGGCATTTACTCTTACATACTGGCAGTCTACAATGTTAGTTTTCTTCATGTCCCCTCTTTTATAGCATTTTGACCAAACCAGTCCTGACTATTATAAGACGCTGTGGCGTCTTGATTGATTCCAGCTGTTCTCCTGGAGGCATCTTTCTCCAATCACAAATCATTCCACTCGTTCTCTCCTGAACTTTCTATAACCAAGAGATCCATGTATAGTGTTATGGGGATAAAAACTTGCAAACAGAAGAAATAGCCAGTTTTTGTTAACTACCAATATTATTCTTCAGAACCTTAATTATATGGTAAATGCAGATGAAAATTAACTGTCTTGTCTCACCTGACACCATTCATGAACCAACAATGACATTCAGCTTCAATTAGTAATCTTCCAAAATGTGAGAAGCAAGAATTTTCATGGATGATGTCCTTTATTGGAACAGCTGCATGTTTGGGATAGACTTAGAGAAGCTTCTGAAGGCAGCATATTCTTCTTCAGGTCACTGCATTTGAAAGCTTGTCTAAGTCTATCCCAACCATATGATTGGTTCAACAGAAGATATCACCCACAAAAACCACTACCCTTCCAACAGTGATTTGTATGCTGTAGTTCAGGGTAAGCACATACTGTTTACTAGGTATCAGAATCAGTTAGTCTGATATAGAAATTTTGTGTTGCAGTGTTAGAATTGGTTTGAATGAAGAAGCAGCTTTTAAGGAGTTGATTCATTTGATGGGGTTTTTTTTTAAAGAAAAAAGATTAGGTTTCCACCTTTTGCAGGACCTTTATTTCTTTCCATTCTCCAGAAATAATCCAGTACATATTTCCTAAAAGCAGGGGCTGAGATGCAGCTAATGTGCCAAGGCTGGATCTTTAATCATCTTTGTAGTTTTTAGATATTATCTTCAGTTAGATTAATGGATACCTTGTGAATAATTTGGTTGACTTCAGAACACAGCATCTTTATTTGAAATGTGAGTGAGACTTTATTTCAGTATGAAATAGATCTTCACTGACTGTGTAGGTTTTAGGGGTTTGTTTTGTTTGTTTATTTGGTGAAACATTATATAACATCAGTAACTGGAAACTTTTGTTTTAAAACTTAGTTTTCCTTTCCTTTTTCTTGTATTTGCTTTTGTTGGTTGTACTGATTCTGGCAAGTGAGCTGGAGCTGTTTGTTGCATCAGTTTTGAGGCGTTCAGTGTTCAGCTAGTCTGGCAATTTAATAGTATTTGTCCAATTCAGATTTGGGCATACATTTTCCAAACAATGTCTCAGTCCTTGGAGTGAGTACTGGGTACAGGTGTAAGAAAGCCAGACTTTCTTCTTTTTCTCTTGCCTAACCCCATTCTTTCTTTCCAACCAGGTCACCCTGTTCAGTTCTACAGCATGAACAGACCTGCATCTCGGCACACCCCCCCAACAATAGGCGGCTCCTTGCCATATAGGCGTCCTCCTTCCATCACTTCACAGACAAGCCTTCAGAACCAGATGAATGGAGGACCTTTTTATAACCAGAACCCAGGTTAGAAAGTTACTGTAGTATATTCATTTCAAAACACCAGAGTATTGGCTCAGAATTCAAGACTCTGAAGGCTGATGTTGTACTGATGCTACAATGCTTTATGCTGTTGGGGAAGCCCCAGAACCACTCCTACTCTGCTCCAGCTGTGGAGAGCAGTTGCATAAAGTTCTGAGCTCAGTTGGAAACAATGGCAGTGGTGGGCAGGCACACTTTTCCTTAACCTGCTCCCTGCCTGGCCCCTCTGGGACTGAGGGGCTCCAACTGTGCCTCCCTCTGCCCTCTCCCTACCATGGTCTGAGAAGTGGTATGCTACACTCCCCTTTACAAAATCCTAGAGCTACTTTTGGGTAGAACAGATCTAATGTCTGTGGTGGCAACTATGGATCAGTACACTGTTAATAAAACATGGAATGGAACGGACCTTTGCAGACTGGATCAAGTTCTTTTGGGTCAGAACTGGCCCATGGGCTATAGGTTGCAGACCTATGCCTTGTGTCTTTACCTGACTCACCCATCCTATATCAGTCCTGGAGTAGGATTAGTGTTTTGTCTTTTATGGGCCACTAGAATTCTAGTTCTCCATTCCTACAGCCTAAAGCCTTGCGTATATTTCTCCCTCCTGACTGTTGGTCCTCCTCGGAGGCAGGCTTTGCCATGGAAGGCTAGATGTAGCAGGGTTCCAGCCCCCATTAGGTCAGTTTTCATATATGATGTTAGTATGATTCAGGGGAGCTCAACCTCTGGCCTATGGGCCAGATGTGACCCATGGCACTGTCATGCAGCCCACAGGGCTCTCTGTGAGTTCAGAAATGTGGTGTTAGGAGAGTGGTGGCACCATTTCCTTGCTGCCAAATCTCTGGATACAGAGAGCGCCCCAGGCCCTGCACATGGTGCTCGATCCTGCCATGTAGGGCTGGGCAGCAGTGACGCGAGGCCCCAGGGCCCAATTCTGATGCACAGAGGGATGGGAGGGGGTGGCACTGGGCCCGGGAGCCCAATCCTGGTTGGGGCTGGGAGGATGTGGCACCAGCCTAAGCCCAGCACGAGGGGAGTGCCAGTTCCTCCAGGATCCAATCCAGGTATGTGGGGCCAGGAGGGGGCAGTGCCAGGACCCAGTCCAGCTTGCAGATGGGTCCCCTACTATTCATTTGGCCCACAGGGCCAAAAAATTGAGCACCACTGTTCTAATTGATGATCTGTCTTTATGTAGACTGAGTCATTATGTTTTTGGTTTTGAGGCCAGTGAGTTGTGTCCTGTGTCTGTGGCCCCTTCTACACGTTATAGGTATCGTGCAATTAACTGGTTAATTGCAGTTACCTTGATACGAGCTACATGTGCAAAGTAGTTATTACACCACAAAAATTTCCAACCAGCTGTAACATTAGATCTAAAAAATGTGCACTAACTTAATAGCTGGTTGCTGTCGAGCTTTAATTTGCTCTTGTAGCATGACCTTCCTTGCAGCTGGGAGCCCCTGTCAGCTGACGAGGCTGCAGGCCACAGGGGTGCACCATGCCCAGCCAAGGCTGGGAGTCCTGCAACTGAGGGGGCCTCTTGGTTCTGGCAGCTGGGGGGATGTGGCTGCCTTGGGAGTGCGCAAGACCTCAGGGCTGGGGGATTGTGGCTGCTGTAACCCCCTAGCCTCAGGGGTGTGTGAAACCTTTGGCATGTGGGATCACAGCAGCCATGGCTTCCCACCCTAGGGGAGTGTGGGCATCCCCATGACTTGGAGCCCCCCAAATGAGGGAGGTCCTGGCCATGGAAGCTTGCTTCTTGCCAGTTCAGGGGGAGCCCAGATTTGGGCTCCCCCTGCACTGGTAATAAGGCATGATGGGATCTAATGTACGATCCCGTAATCACGCCTCCTGCTATACATGTGTGACATGGCAGGAATCACGGTTGCGTGGATCGTGTATTAGATCCCATTGCACTTTTACCTGCATATGTAAAGGGGCCCTGTATCTGTATATGAAAGGTAATAGCCATTAATATAAACACAGCTGTTTCCCATGTTTTGATCAGAGAGGAATCTAGTGCATGCAACAACAGTGGAGAAAGGAAGATTTCTTTTAGGCAGAAGGTGCAGAAAGATACTGTAGCAGTGTTTAACAGTTATTGGTTTGCAAATATTCTTATTGATACTTAGAATGTTTACATGCAAGTGCTGGATTGTTTTTGTATTGGTTTTAATTGTAAAACTGAGCTTGGAAGTAAACAGTTCTAGCATCTGATCTGGGGGGTTCGATCAGACACAAACATATTTCATCTTTAGCTGCTAGCTAGCCTCCAAAGAGACATTATTTTTTGTCTAGGAGAAGGAACTGGTGGGTGGGGGTGAGAATGCATAAGTAAACTCCATACTAGGTGATATCTGTAATGTACATTATATGCAGTATTGACGAATGTGGAGGATAGAGGCAGAGGGGAAGAGTAGCTATGTAGGAAATGGATTGAACTAAAATAAGATGCCTTACAGATTGCCTTTGTGGTAAAGAGGATTTTCAGCATAACCAGAATAGTGTTGCTCTGTATTTCTGTTTTTAATAAGAGGATGGCTCTTTGTTGTGTTGCCCAACGGATGATCATAAAAGATGCCAGATATTCTGTGAATAAGTTATGTAACTATAATTCAGGCTGTTTACCCAAGAAGAAAGTAGTGATTAAAGCGATTATTCACTTGACCTCTAAGGCATGAATAGAATGACTTCCATGGTAGGGACATTTGGCATGTAAATAAAGAGCTGCAAGCAAGAGATTGCTTTTATATCAATGTCCTGGGCAAAATGTGGAATTTTAGTTGCATTCAGATGGAATAAAGCATGGTCTTTGGAGCTGGACCCCAGGAAGGAGGAACTCCAAAGTTGAATACATTAAGTTAATAATGTTGAGGGTGGCATATGACCAAAGAAGAGCTTTGGCAGGAGAGAGGACCATAGTTCCTGGCTGGATCTGTTGAAGAGAGGGAGCTTGTAGAAGCTTGTGCAGAAAGAAGGGCCCTAGGGGCTTGTGGAGAAGAAATGGGGGTATCAAAATAGGTTAATCCCACCTTGCTTCTGTAGGATTTTTGGCACTGAAGCAGGTGCTACTTTTTTTCCAGGGGTGTGTGGGTGTTTTGTATTGGATATTCATGCTGTTTTTTTTCCATGGAGTTTATATGTTTTAAGCATAACCTTTCCATTTGGAATATAGGCTTTTACCCAGAGTGATTAGGAGATCTTTGTGTGTGTGTGTGTGTGTGTACAAATAAGCATCGGTTTATTTGAACTTATATAAATGTGCTTAAAACTGGGTTCTGCAGAATAATTGTGCTAAAAACTTTAAGGATCCACTGCAAATTGCAGATTCTTCTTTGAGAATTGCCTGTATGGATCGTTGCTTGTGGGTTCAGTGCAGTAGCAAAATCTTCTAGAAAAACATTAGCTTTAGTGTTGGCAGAACAGCACTGATGTCTGTACTGAAAGCGGAAGTACATGTCAGCACAGAGTTATCTGCTGCAGTGTTGGGAGTCCAAAAAAGCATTAGTGCCTGGATAATGTAATTCAGAAAAAACAGGAAAAACAGGGTATTGATAGCACCATAGTCCTTTTCCTCCCTGAATGGTGGGGAGAAGACTCACTGTCAACTTGTCATCTCCCTCCATTGGCTCTTAAGTACCAAGGGAGATTTGTATGAAACAGTTTGGCATCAGCCTTTGCTGAACACTGAGGCTCTGTCATAGACCTGGTGACATTTGCCAGTGCTGAAAAAAATAAAATAAAAAATCAGGTTTTGGTGCCAACCCTCTTTCTCAGCACCAATGACAAATCCTGTGCTGTTTGGTTGTCCCGTGCATAGAGCTTTCCTTGCTACTCCATTCTAAACTTTGACACAGGAATCTTTCCTGGGAGTGTGAAGCCTTTGCATGCAGGCAGTCTGTGTGCTACACAGGCAGCTCAAGGCTTGTGCTGATGTTCCTTTGCATCCAGCCTCATTTAGGTTTTTTATCATCCCAGCTTGCCTGGATTAGAAAGCAGACAGGTTTCTTAACTTGACTAATATTTGTGCCACCCTTGCCCTAATCCTAAGGTCTTTTTGGCTGATGGAAACTTTCTGAACCTAGCAAATACCTTCTGTCACATTGGTTTCCCAGCAGCAGTCGTACCATTCTGGAGAATTTTAGTTATTGATGTAACCAGGGATCTGGGCTTTTTGTTCACCACAGTAAAACGTGGATGTTTTCATTTTAGGGAGAAAAAGTAGGAAATGGTGGGTGTCCCTTTGCAGAGTTCCAGCTTGCAAGGGGCTGCGGGGAGTGAGAGGGCGGTAGTCAGGCAGAGGGCTCCATGTACATGTGTGCATGCACACGTGCACATGGCTGCCAGGCAGCCTGCAGAGCAGCTCCTGCAGGTAAGTCTGGCACAGGGGAGGGCGGGAGTGAGAATTGAGGATCCCATAGTGAGGGAGGGAGATGGGCAGGGTTGGGGCTTCAGGCTCCGCTCCACCTCAGCAGCCACCATCTTCTGTGGGTGGCAGCTAGGGCTCAGGTGCTGCTGGGGGTGTGGGCAGGGGGCTGCGGACCTGGGTTTCTGGCCCTGTAGCCCTGAGTACATGGATTGTTTACTGTGTTAGCTATGCTTCCCTTCTTTGCAACTAGCAAAGGTCGTTGAGACATCCTGTTGAAGTTTTAAACCAGTGATTCTCAACCAGGGTGCTGTGGCACCTTAGGGTTCCTTGGGATCCTTTCAGGGGTACTGTGGAGTGCAACACAATGTTAGCACTGTTAGGTCTGCAAGCATGATTTACAGTATAAACCTGGAGATTTCAAATAGGAGTCCAGAACTTTCTGAACTGTTGTGATTTTTTTCTGTGTTTTTGCCACAGAATTATTGCTCTATTTTTCTGTAGTAAAAATTGATGAAAACCAAAAGCTGGCATTTTTGAGGGGTGCCTCAAGCCTAAAAAAAGTTGAGAACTACTCTTTTAGACTTAACTTACTGTCTTCTAGACCAGCAGTTCTCAGCCTTTTGCACCTTACGTCGCACCTATGTAAGGTCAAAAAATCCTGATCTCACCGGTCAATGAGCGGGAGGGGTCCCTCAGAGGCTAGTCGAAGGAGCGGGGAGGGGGACCCCCAGTGGCCAATTGAAGCACACAAAAGCAAAACCGTAAGTCCCGCCGTGGCACTTCCAGTTTTGCCATTGTGACCTGGGTAGGACGCGTCCCACCGGTTGAGAACCCGTTCTAGACATCAGTCTGCAGAATGGATGGATTTGTGCACAGCCTTAGAAGTGGACCTGAAACATAGCATAAAGTTTTGAATTCATATGGAGCTGGACAGCAAACTTTTTTAGGTGCATTTGAAAATCTCAGCCTTAATAACTTTCCCTAATCACTTGAAAAAGGATGTTCAGAAAGAATAAATGGTATGCAAAGCGTTTTTCCCCAGGGAAATGATTACAAAGCAATACTACCCCAGATTGAATTTGAATAATAATTGCCCAAACATTGCACATTCTGTCCATGTTTACTGTCAAATTTAAACACTTGAACAGAAAAATATACAGAAAGGAGCCTGGGCATGTGCCACAACTAGTCTTAAGGTATATATACGCTAAAATCACTGTCGATACTGCAGTTAGGGGGAGATGGAGTTGGGGCTAATCTTGCATTGAGACATGAAGTGTAAACATCTTAGTTGTCTGTCAAAAATGATGCAAGCAAATTCTCAAATATGTGAATTTGCAGTTGGGTAGATGCAAGTATAATTTGTTATACCACATGCATGTTGCCTGAAATCTAAATATTGTCCAGAAAGATAAGTAAACTCTACTGGCATTGAAAATGTATACTTTTCTTTTATGCTTGGAAATACATGTATATATTTTATGTTAAGAGTAGCAAGAGAATCATGCTGTCATTTTTCTGCACATATCTTGTACCTTAATATGCTGGTTTTTTGAACAATTACCGTAACAAGGTCATATAAAGCTATACATTAAAAGAGCTTGCTGGAAGGTTAGAGCCAGCAAGTACATAGACTTTTTTTCCTACCACTGTAGAAAAAAACCTAAGGTGGAAAGGTTTGATGAGAGCTGAGTGAGATATTATGGTAGCCTGTTCCAGTTACATTCTTGAAGTTATTGTTAAAAGACCCTTTGAAGCCTATACTACTTTTGTTGTCATTTGTATTCGCATCTCCTTTGGCAGACTGCTGTAGGGTCTGAACAATGATGTCTGCTTTTTTGTTTGCTGTTTTTTTCTAATATAATACTTTTTTCTTTTCTTGCTCTGTGCTGCAGCATCTCTTGCTCCTCCTCCCCCCTCCATCCTACAGGTAACTCCACAGTTACCACTAATGGGATTTGTGGCCAGAGTCCAAGAAAATAGTAAGTTTGCATCTTTCTTTGTTCTGATTGGCTATTGTGTGAGGCTTCTGCTTTGTATGTGCAAAAAAAAAAATCCAGGTGTATGTAGCCAGAATTTTGACTTTCCTACTGTCTCTGTTTTTAGCAATTTCAGGTATACTAGGAAGGAGAGAGTAAACTTATTGTGTCAGGAGAATATGATCTTTCTTCCTCCCCAGTCTTTTAGCAAGTCTCTGAATTCTAGTTATAGATTTCAGTGCAACTACCTGGGGATCCTTTGAGAGAGGGATTTCTGTTTTAACCTGCTTGCATGCCTCCGGAGAATTGCCATGCTGATCTTGTTGCTTATTTTTAGTTTCAGATACCCCTCCTCCTCCTCCACCTGTAGACGAGCCAGTCTTTGATGAATCTCCACCTCCCCCGCCACCTCCAGAAGATTATGAAGAGGAGGAGGCAGCTGTGGTGGAGTACAGTGATCCCTATGCCGAAGAAGATCCTCCTTGGGCACCAAGGACCTACTTAGAAAAGGGTAGGTTTAAGGGTACCAGACTTGGTGGTGTTTTATATTATGCAAAAGTTCAGAATTTGTGTAGTTGTGTAAATGAGAACCTTTCAGTAATCTGTTGCTTGGTCGGAATGATCAGAAATGTTGTATTGTTTCTCTACTATTACACAAAGACCTTACTTCCTGACCATTGTGTAAAGAGTGAGAATCATGCTCAGTGATTTTTTTTTCTTGCTGGGCAGTTGACCCCTCCAGTATTTTTGCTATGATAAAGGAATATTCATAGGTAAAAGGACTGACAGAGAGGAGAGAGAAACTAATACTGATGAGAACATTACTTGGATAGGTGATACAGTTGTCAAATCATCTAGGAAATTGTATACTATTAGTGAGACTTGAAATGTTTGTGCCCTAATGCAAGGAGGCTGGAGGATGAAGTGAAAGTAGAACTAGTAGAACAGGAAGTGAAACCAGAGGCATAAGGATAACAAGGCCAACGTGGAATATAAGTCTGACTGGAACACAGGTATTGAAGAATACCTGCTAGAATGAAGACTTAGAGATTTGAATGTGGAGGAAGTTTGGAATTTCTATAAGGTGAAAAACTTATCTGGAAATTCTGTCCCAGGGGCAAGGGGAAAACAAAAGGAAGACATTTGAAGCAAGCAAAGAGCCTTCAAGGAAAGGAGAAAAAGAATTGATCAGCACAGAAAGTCTTAGGGGTCAGGAAGTATAGGGGAGAAAGCAAGAACTATCAAAAGGCATGTTGTGTTAAACCTTACAGAGGAAATGAAATACAATAAGAAAAGGTTTTTCAGCAAAATAAAAAAGAACAATGAAAAGAAATAGTTACATTTAGGTGGTGAGGATAGGATGAGTATTAAAGGTAATATTGGCACGATACCAAATTGAGATGAATACTTTGCTTCCATTTTTAATAGGGGCAAAGGAGTAAACATGGGAACAATGGAAGGTGGCAGTTGGGAATGAGGCTATGGAAATAGCTGTGACTGTGGTAGTATTAATATCACTTAATCCATGTAGGACAAGCCTTTTGCACATTACTTAATGCAACAGAAGATATTCAGAGTGCATTGTTATGCTACTCTGATTTTCCTGCCCCTTTTTGTTTGGATCCTTGGACTCTTTGGCCTTGGCTGCTCAGGCCTCCAGTGATAAGGACAGATTTAAACAGTTAGAACAACAAGAAAATGAACTATCTTGGGTCCTGCTAATTGTGAAAGAGTGGCTCTGTGTCCCTATGCTGTTTGAAGGACATCTGCTGTCTGTTCCTGCTGCAGTGTGTGCTGCTCCTGTGATGGCACTGGGGGCTTGGCCTCAGATTAAAATGTCCATGATCAGTTATTTTGGCCTTCTCTCAAAGGCTAGCTCATGAGATGAGCTGTAGTTTTCCCAACATTTTTCTCTCTGCTTGACTTAAATGGAAATTTGTGGGACAAAACTTAAAAAGTGCCTCCCCATCCCCAGGTCTTTGTTCTTCCCATGTTTTAAAGACATGCTACAACTAGTGGAGGCACGAGAGCTTCTCAAAAAATGGCAGTAAGAATATCTTAATGGAAAACGCATGTCAGGTATGAATCCAAACATTGCAGCTGCTGCTTTTCCCAGTGGCTTCACAGGGAAAGTGGCCTGCAATCACCATTTTTCCCCACCAGAGCACGTGAAGAGTGTCTGCAGCTTGTGTGGTAGCAGGGAAAAGTGACTGCTGCTGAACCTGCAGCTGCCATGAGAGAAAAGAGCTGGCTGCAGATGCTTTCCTCTTGCCACCTCAGGGAAAAGTAGCAGCAGCAGGAACTTTCCCTGTGTAGCCGCGGGGGGGAAAAAAAGGTGGCAGGGGCAGCTAGGTCCTAGTACTTGTCTGCCATGCCCTAGCCTGACTGACCTGATTTTGGTCAGTGGCCCACAGTGTAAACAAGTTGTCAACCCCTGCAGTAGAGTGTCAGTAGTGAGATGGCTGGTAACTGAGGGGGTCTGATGTGGATCAGTGGAGCAGTTTGTCTTTGACGGTTAGAAACCTCCACTGTACTGGTTTCTGTGCGAATGGATGGCACGTTTTCCTTCAGGTCAGGAAAAGTACAGGCCACTTCAATAAGTGTTTTCATTTTCTGATCAGGTTGATTGCTGCTTTTTTAACATTTGCTTTCTGTTTCATTCTCCGGGCAGCAATGGAGCGTGCTCAACATTTACTCAGATTTTGTCCTTTCCAGCATTGTTAGTGATACAGTGCTTTTCTGCTGGGTGAAGCTTTCACATTTGTTAATGTATTTGACAGGAACAGTAAATCCCAAGGATTTCCTCTAAACCTTTCCAGATGCGAGATTCACTTTTTGGGGCTGTCATGATATTTCCCAGCTTTAAATTATCATCCAAGTATTCTTCCACGAAATAATATTTGTTGAATCGTCAGTAGCCGTGCCCTCTGACTCTGAGCAAAACTTCAGAGAATCTTTAATCCACTGAAGGGTAAAGGAGACTCCACTGTGTTGCATGATCTCATAGGTCTGTGTCTACTGATACAGGATTTTGCAAAAGTCTGACTTAATTGGATCAGGACATAAGCCCCAGACCTAATGGGGCTAGTTGAAACTAAAGTGGAGAAAATCACCATTCTGTCTGCTTAAGTTTTAGGTAAAGGAACACAACTTCCCTTTCTACTCTTACTGGTTCTACTGGTTCTTTAGCGCAATATAGTGCGAGAGATCTGGAGACTCTTGGGTCTTCAGAAGAATGAATTAATTCTATTCCAAAAGCAGAGTCAATAGTCAACCTCAGTTACAGCTCTGCAACCCACAGTTTTCAAGGGGCTGCTGAGGTTTAACTGGGTAAACAGTTTTGTTCAGTAAACATTTCTTTGTCATAAGTGAACCCAAATAAAACCAGCTTGACTTTTAAATCCTAGAGTGAATTTGCAGTGTCATCAGTTAGGAGGAAAACTCCTTTTACTTATGATAGAATAAATGTGATGTGGAAGCCTAAGCTGCTCCAAACGTGGCTTCCCAGCATGCCATTTTAGCCATGCTTTTTAACGTATTGGGGAACTAAGTAATTAAATATTTTTGGAGCAGGATTAATTTCTAGGTGGTAACTAGCATCCTTAAATAGGCTGAAAGGAGCCATCTAGGCCAGACAAACAAAGGGTAAAGAAATCAAATGGGTAAACGGGACGTGGCAGCAAGAGGATTATTTGTCAGCTTGCAGAATGACTCCAACAAAACCATTACTCTTCTGTAGCAATTTCGGCTGTATGCACATTTGGCTGCAGACTACAGCAAAAGGAGAACAATTTGTTTTTATTCTGTTTCCCTTGTCAAAGGAATTCTTTCTTCCTCCCACCACAGATAGCTTTTGCAGAAACCCTAGAGAGGCCTCCTTTTTTCACAGTGACAGCAGCCAGGAGCTGCCTGCTGCTGCCAGTAAGCAGTACTTGGAGGACTTCTGACATGCCAGAGCAGAGGTGGGGTTTAATTTTAATTTGATCAAAACTAGTTGGGATATCTCCTCAAACTGTTTGTGTTGGACCTTTGCCCCTGAATATTGCTTTTCTTACAAGTAAGCTTGGAGTTGCAGTGGTTTTTTCAACAATGTTCAGCAGCTTAGCTTTGTTAGTAAAAGAAGGCTTGGAAAGAGATTTGAGAATTTTTTTTAGTGGTGTAAATTCATCATGGATTCAGGCTGTTTTTATTAGACCAGCTGACTAAAGTAACAACTTCAATATGACTAAAGCTATCGTCAGTATGAAGAAGAAAAGAATGCACAAGGAGCAAACCACTGAAAATATATACCTTGATTATAAAGAAAAATCAGTAAAACATCAAGTAATTAAATGGACTGAACATCAAGTACATATCAGTTAATAATTATCAATTAAATAAAAATATTAAACATCACTGGATCTAAACTAGATCCCTGACGAACCCCAGTCAAAATGATCTGCTGACCTAACATCAGTCTACTTGTTTGCAGGTGTTCAGCCAAGTATTTATCCACCTAATGTAGTCTTATCCAGTAGTCCCATCCAGCGCATGTTTCTCTAACTTTCTAAAAATTTTTCTAACTTCTCTAAAATGTCATGTTGAGAGTATGTCAAAGGTCTTAAAGTCCAGGTGTATTATCCATCACATTCTCCGCATCCCATCATCCACCAAACTATTAATTACACTGTCTAATAAAGAAATCAAATTGGTATTATTTGTTCCTTACAAGCTGTGTTGGCTGTTGATGATCATCCCCTCATCCTCCAGATATTTACAAATGGAAAGTTTTATAATTTGTTCCATCAACTTCCTGAGTATTGAAATCAAGGTCACCAATCTTTAACTGTCCTTCTTTTTTCCCTTTGTAAAGGTAGGTGCAATGCTAGCCCTTCTCCCAGCCTCTGGGACCTTGCCTATAATGCATGGGTTGGCAAATACTATAGCCCATGGCCTGGAGACTTCTTTACCCAGTGTCCACACACAGGACTTTTAACAAACTGTTAGAGAATTTAAACTGGGGAGTCCTGGTAGAATTAATCCAAGGGGGCTGAAGGAACTGGGTAAAGAAATCTCAGGGCCACAGACCTGAGTATACAGGAATCTCGGGCT